TTACTTGTATGATTGAAAATGCACTTACCGTGTTTCTTGTTATGGTGGCTTGATATGCATGACTTGATAAATAAAGAATTTTTTTTTTAAAAACCTCTCAAAATATTACACTATATCCTCTTGGCCAGACACCTTTTAGAATGCCCCATGATCTGTTCTGTCAGCCCACTGAGTACTTCTAATATAAGAATTAAAAAAAGACAGGAACCTTCCCAAGCATCTCTAGGGTGCACTACCATCTTGAAAATGTAGTTTATTTACTTCCATAACTTGCAAGATTTAAGTTATTTTTTTCCTTCACTCAATGTCACCACCATAGTGAGATGGTCCTAGTTATCTGGGTCTGATAATACAAACAACCTGGAAGAGGAGATTGGGTAAACTCAGATTTAAAGTTCAATGATTGCTGGGTTGAGAGAGTCACAATCCCTGCTTCCCAGAAATCCAAGTCATACCTTGTCCCCATAGTTGTTCTCTATTTGCAGTCTACAAATGTAGTTGAAAAAAAAAAAAAAAACAACAACATTATGCAGTGAAATATTGCCTGCAATCTCACCAAGGAACTAGTACATTTATAAAACTAAGGGAGTTGGCCTGGACTCCCTAATATATTTATATCTAAAAGCAGGAAAGCTCATGTAAACACAGCACGTGCTTCCATTCTGACTTTATCTCATAAATTATGAAAATTGCTACACTTAGGTATATTACAGCTCATCTCTACCTGAAATTACAAATGTGTGTCTCCACCCACCTTGGTAAAGGGATTTGGCATGTCCCTAACAACTCATGCTCTTTAGATTGAGCATAATATTCTATCTATACATTGTTCTTGCAGTTTTGCTAGCAAATAAATAGTTTACGAGAAAAAATATTTTAAAATGTGGGTTTTTTTTTCTAGCTGTCAGTTAGTGCAGAGGCATCGACTAACAAGGGAGAGCAAAAAAGCCGTCCACAGGAGGTCCCTCTAATCTCCACCCATAGCAACCACAGGGCATGCGCTGTAATTTGCTATGGAAACTCTGACTAGAAGTGTCAGCTAGGGAGTATAGGAACGGAGTGATGGTGATATCACTCCATTCCAATGCTGTCAAGCTGACAATGAAGCCAGTGTGCTGACATCACTGAAGAGATATGTCTTGCTTGAGGATGCATATGTGCCAAGCAGGGCACATAAAATAAGAGACCAGGTGGAGGTGTGGAGGACAGCCCATAGGCTTTCCAGCTGTACAAAGTGGAGCTAGAAAGGAGAAAATGTGAGTAAATCAATATATTTTACATTGAAAATACCATGTATCTTTGTGATATATGCTGTATTAAATGTTTATGGGAGCGATTTCAGGTAAGTTGTTTTTCGGGTTTTTTTTTCATTACAGGTTCACTTTAAGCAGCTCTTTTCTATAAATCAGCTGTTGCCGTGACAGGGCCATTGGTTTTCATTTAATTTTTAGTCTAGACATGAACTTTAAAGGTATTAAAGGTATCTTTATTTATTCATCTGTTCGTTTGTTTGTTTGCTTGTTTACTTATTAAAATTAATACTAAAATGCCAAAAAATATTTCTCATCTACAGCCTAATTTGTCCCTTTAATCACATTAGCCCAAGTCTCTAGCAAGATATAAGACTTGTCTAAAATGTAACTGGTATTTTACCTAACTGAAATGTACTGTGGACAACTTTTGATGAATGTTTCAATATACTAATGGTATGTACCTTTAAATCCTGTTCAATAACCGTGCTTTGCTTTTAGTATATATTGATTTAAAAAAAAAAAGTAATGCAATTACCATTTGATTTAGCACAACATTCATGATTTACTTACTGTTTGTTAATATCACTCCCTAGATTGTAAAAAAAAAAAAAAAAAATATGTTGCAGCAAACCTGTTAATAAACTGATCATGCTGCCCGGCCTCTTCTGCTTATATTTAATTTTGCCTTTCAAGTTGTTTTCATTGCTAAAGCATTGTTACTTGTGATTTCAAACATTAAATTATCTGAAGCACAGCTGAATAAAAAAAAATATTGGAGAACAGAAATAATATTATTCCTATGTTTTATATGTCGGATAACAAAATGGAAAGCAAGATTATTTGTTTATAAGTTTTAAAATAAATGCAATACTAAGAACTTAGAGAGAACCTTTATTTTTTTTTAGCACTTGTTATGTCTTTTTTTCCAAGAGATTTTTAAAGGATTACATATTCTCCTGAACCTGAAATTTATGTGTGTTATAAATGTCAAATCTGCAGAAAGTTATTTATTTGCTGAGCCCACTATGACTCAAATGAGTTCTAAAAATGCTGCTAACAATAGTTGGCCTTTAAAAACAGTAGAAAAACAGAACAAAATAAATGTAGTCTCAGCATGCTACTGTAGAACCAGAGAAATCTACAAAGTATAACACAAATAACAGCAAATTTGCCATTACTTATAAAATGAAAAGAAAGTGTACAGAAAATTCTTGAGTATTTAAAAGTCACTTTGTAGAAGTCCTTTGGAAAACAATTTTCTGACAAGGTATGCTACGAAGTGAACCATGAATGCAACAGAAACATGTATGTTGTGCATAATTGTATCTTAGCTACACTGTGTAGGATGTAAGTGCACCATTTAAAATAGATAACATTATATATACATAACGTAGAAAAGTTAAGTACAAAAAGGTTTTGCACTTTCTATTTATGCACCTGTAAGAAGAGCTTGGGTAAAACTAGATGTCATGTTGTCTCCTTCTGGCCTATATGATAATTAAAAATTCCAGAGAAACAATAGAACAAAATAAAAACAGATTTAGTGTAACGCTCCATGAATACATGTGTTTGTATCAAATGGAATATCCTATAAATGTCTTTCACTGATATCTCTGAAATGCAATCTAAACAATGCACAAAGACTCAGTCAGTTATGAGTGAAGGGGTGCCCCACCAAACATGTAAAAACATTAAGAATAGTAAAGGAATACGCAACATAGCTCAACAATTCCCAAATATCTTAAAAACTGAACCAGCTATCCTTTCATATATTTCATCATCTTCTTGTAACAATTGGCTATGCAATGATATTTCCTTATCTGGCTTAATACTTAAATAGGCAATCACTTTTAGATCCAGTTTCCAGTAATATATGCTGGACCAAGAAATGTATAAAAGTTGTTGGAGTTACCTACATATCATAGATTACAATGATTGTGCAAGGCTATATTCTGTTCTGAGCCCATGGATAAGAAAGCATACATAATTCAAAACAAGCAAAAGTATAAATTATGTATGCTTTCTTATACAAGAGACTAGTGCCTCTCACAATTGAATATAGAAAAAGGGGGAATTGGGGCACACCTGGAAAATACATTTATCAGCAGTGGGTGCTGGCATAACAATCGAAACAAGTTCAAATTAATATAAGACCCACCAATATTGGGGTACTGTGTAATGGTAATGGTGGGCCTATTCCAGTATGACCATATGGTGTAATTGTATCCCCATATTTGTTTGCTGAGATAGGTAATTTTAAGTAGCCTTGTAAAATGTAAAATTGTATTTTTGTGTGGGCGCTGTTCCGTAATCTGTATCCTCACAAATGGACAGACTTTTGTAGGTGAGTGGATGGTCAGCTGAGCTGAACACATTCTTCTTGCCACTGGTTTGAGGAACGGTGTCTAAATTAATATATTTTCTCCTGTAAGCATATTGTGAAATAGTTTTTTTCAATATATGTCCTCTGAGTAGAAGAGCTCTTTTGGTTAGGATGTTCTTTTGAGCTTGTTGGTTTCTATATAAAACCTGTAATAGTTTAATGTGCTAATCCGTGGTGCCTGCAAAGTTTAAAGAGGCTGCAGTGCTGCTCCCTAACTTGTTGCGCTTTACCCACTTAGATGCACCATGAGATGCCATGCTTTATTTCAAACCAGCTGCATTACCAGAAATCAATAAAGGTGAGAATGGAAAATGCAGATATAAACATGACAGACATATGTTTTTCTAACATACAGTTATCAGTAGTCCTTAGAATGCCAAAACATTTATATGCTTATATATTATATGCTTTTTTTTTGCAACACAAACTGGAGGCCCTATTGGACTATTGCTCCCACCTATTCTCAACTTCTATGCTGGAATGGTTGACCATTCTTCTCAAAATTACCCACATACCGGGTGACTATAAACATGTTTATCTGTTCTATCAAACCCTTCAACATCAACCAGCAGTTTTACTAGCCCTGTGTTCAGTTACTGTTACAGTAGTCCTAATTAAATATGTTTAGCAATGGAAAAATGTTTCATTTGATGAGACAACTAGTGAAAGGGAAACATCTGTCGAGCCTCCAAAAATATGCATACCTGCCTATCAAAGAATGAAACAATATGTAGTATATCCTCATTAAAATTCTAGACAGTTGGTTACCTGTCTTGTTTTTCTGTTTTATAAACATTTAGGTTTTAGCCTAGTACATTAATGGATCTAGGCTACCACTTACAATTTGAAAAATACACCCATTGGCAAAATGTCATAAATAATATAATCAAATATTACTTTCCTTTATTTTAATTAGTGCATCAATAAATGGAAAAAAAATATTTGGAATGAAAATATATTTTTACTTGTGTCAAAGAATGCGCCTTTTAGTTAACATTCTATTTACCAAGTAAATTTTTTTGAAAATGGTTAAAAATTTTGCTGGCATACACAAATAACTATTTGCATCACAACTTTTTATTAATATTATTATTAGTGGTCAGTGTGATGATGTGTCATTTTGTTTATGACATCTCTAATGTTAATTGTTTAACTGCACTATTAGACCTTAACTAGTTAATGTGTTGGTTCACTTTAAATCTTGTCATGTAACCTGGAACAGGAAATAGGTCACAGGTTATAGTTCAGTTGTACAGGGAAGACTCAGAATAAAGAGATCCCGGTTAAGCTTCTAATCCTCTCTCAGTGTCTTATGTCAATACAACAAATGGTCCCAGAAGTGGGGTACAGAAAACAATGGCAAGCAGCTGCAGCACAAAAAAAACTCCACCCCTGGATTTAGAATCTGGCAATGTATCAGAGAACTGGGCAAAATGGAGGGAGCTGATAGAGCTGGTTTATGCTGGACCGGATGCAGCACATTGGACTGACCAACAAAAGGCAGCATACTTTCTAATCAGTGTGGGCCAAACAGGTCGTGATGTATGCAGAGCATGGTGTGCAAGTGGACACATAACTACAGAGGACAAGCAAAAGACAGAGGTACTGTTTGCAAAGTTTGATGCATACTGTAATCCACACAAGAACACTACAGTGCAGAGAAAGCAGTTCTATGAGAGGAACCAAGGGGGCAGTGAATCAGTGGATGAATGGATCGCACAATTACAGCTACTGGCTAATGCTAGTGCTTTTCATGACGCTAGTGATATGATAAAAAAGATAGGATGGGCAGCCAGTATAAAAATGTTCAATAAAAGTTACTGCAGGAAGCGTATTTAACCTTTAAAACAGCTGTCAGAATTGCAAGAGCATATGAGATGTCAAAAAAAGACTTGCAGGCACTGGGAGAGCCACAACAGATCAGTGCATTCGAAAAGCAATCTAACAGTCACAAAATAGAACAAAGGGATGTCTGGAGAAAGAACAAAAGAGAAAACTGAGAAAAAAAATACATTAATTATTGAATAAATAATATAAAAACATTGATTTTTAGATTTAACAGAAACGATGAGCATGCATAACAATCATTACATTATTACATACCATAGAAAATAAACTGCAAAAGATTGATAGTTTGATGAGACTCGATAGCATGATCATTGGTCGATTTTTTTCATTCTGGAAACATTTGTGAAAATAAAATCTTACAAAGCTGTTGTGTCTAGTGTAAGTGTTTCTGAAATGCATGTTATCATATGTAATGCTATATAGCAACTTATTCTAGAATTTAGTTAAACTCACAGTTTTGTCTCTTTTTAATCTCTCCATACATTTCAAAAAGGGTCGCAATAAAGTCCATTTGTTCTTGAGGTTTTTTCTAATAAATTGCTGTTTGGAACTAGTCTATATTATACAAATTAACTATTCTTCTTAAAAAAATAAAAATAAACACATTATACCTTCCAAAATAATAGTATCAAGGAAAAACATACAAATAGAAAACACAATCATATGAATCTCATCTTTATATATATTTTTTGTTTGTTTTTTAGGATGTAGCGTTGGAGAACCTATTATAAATTGTAACCCAGGCTGTTGGAAAAATGTACTATTCAATCTGACTTTTCGCAGACTGCGAATAATCCATGAAAATGCATTGATTTGAAAGCATTCTAAAGGAAATAAATCAATGTCAATTAAATTGAATGTGGTTATTTATGTAGCATAGAATCGCCAACAGAGATCTATGTAAAACCAATTATAAATTATAGCCTATTCCTAAAGAATTTTTTACTTAAGTGAGCTAGACTGCAACTTCAATGGATGGGAGTGACTGGTAGCTTGCATTTTTTAGTTAGGCCCTTAACCCCTTAACGACACATGACATATGTGACATGCCATGATTCCCTTTTATTCCAGAAGTTTGGTCCTTAAGGGGTTAAGGCTGTGGGTTTTGCCTGGTTGCATATGTGTCCAGGTACGTGCTTAATAAGTATTTGCTAATTTTTATGCCTGACTCACAAAATGCATTGTAGCACTAGCTTCTTTATTTAAAAGTATGCTACACATTTTATGACCATTTAGAAGCAATCCTCATGAAAGCACACATTATCTAAGATGTATCAACATTTAAAATAAAAAAAACATTTTGTGAATGAAAGGTTAACATAAATTATTGGTGTTTCTCAATGTTTTATTCAATGGTATACATTCTAGAACAATGTCAATTTCCTTTAAAATATTCCAAATGCTCAAAAATGAAGAACAAACCATGAACCATTTGCACAATATGCTGCCCATTTTTTGTTAAAATGGATAACATACCAAACACATTATTAGTCCTTACTGCCCTTTTCCCAAAGTCTTTTAGAATTTCAGGGGCTCTGTGTGACATAAGTAGGCTGACAAGGAAGAGCTATAGAAGAATGGGGCAGAACTCCATCATCAGTGGCTCCATCATAGGATACTTACTTTATCTGATTCATTTCCTTCTGTAGCTGCAACAATCAGTTGCAACTGCTGTTACTGTGAGGTGGAAATGTATAGTGGAAGCAACATCTTAGCTACAAAGTTTGGAGGTAACTTAAGCAGAGAACATAGGAAAACCTAATATAGAAGAACAAAGCAGATGTGAGTTATCTATCATCATATATATGACGTAAAATGTATTGCTGACTCCCAAACTGCAAAGTTGCCAACCTAACACATTTTCAAATGGGTTTTTATGGTTAAACAAGGTTCAGTAAAGTAATAAATCACTCTTCACAATCTGTTACTCATACTTTTGTTTCAGTGATTCTTATGAGAATGCTACATGAATGCTTTTAGAGGGATGGTCAAGGATGTATAAAGGTCTGGTGATGTGCTAGACTCAATATTTCAATAAAAGAACATCTTAATTCTAAACTATTGCATAAAACAGTATTATATATGATTGTTTTTCATACATGTTACCTTGAAACATACACTTTCCTTTTTTCAGCAATGCAATGTCTGCACGTGCCTAGAATTCCATAAAGAAATCATATGTGTATATTACTTTAGAGTGGAAAAAACAAAGAAATTCAAAAACTAAAAAAGTACATTTATTGCTACTTAATTTCAAAATATCAGAAATCAAAATAAAAAAATGAAAGGATTATACAATAAAAAAAATAATAATAAAACAAGACTAATCAGGCTAGGCAATGACAGTTTATTAGACATAGGAACAGCATGGGCTGGCCCACATGAAACTGGGAAATTTCACAGTGGGCTGATATAGCTGGGGTCAGTTGGGGGTGCTCAAGGAGTAAATATATATATATATATATACATATATTTTAATTACTTTGGTAGGGAGGGGCACGGAGCAGCCACAGCTGGATGTTCCCCACAATGCACTGAGTTGAAGGCAGCCATGATACAGAATGACATTAAAACCCAGTGGGTGACACTTTGTGAATGAGGAGGGGACGGGTTGTAGATGCTGAAAAACTGCTTGTATGGTATCTATATGCAAGGCAAGATAATTACGTGAGCTGTGTTACTGTGTCTATGTGTGGATGGTTGAGAGTGTACATGGGTCATTGTGTGTGTGTGTGTCATTGTGTGTGTTTATCACTTATTGTGTGTATGTATAGGTCACCAAGTGTGTGTGTGTGTGTGTGTGTGTGTATTGGATCACAGAAACATGTATGTATGAATGGGTCACTGAATGTGTGCACATTGGTGACAGAGTATATGTATGTGTGTATATGGGTCACTGAGTATGTGTCTGTTTATGAGTCATTGTATGTGTGTGTGTATATATATATATATATATATATATATATATATATATATATATATATGCACACACACTGAGCATGTGTGGGTTACTGAGTGTGTATCTATGTATTGGTCACTGAGTGTTTATACTGGTATATCTATGCATGCACTAAATGAATACTCAGATCATTATAATCACTATCAGTATATTGTAGCACTTGTGGTGCCAGGAATACCCTGGCAAACCTCCAGTGTATTCCTGAAGAGCAGTGCAGGGCTTAACACTTTGGTTGAAATGAAACAACTGGCACTCTCAACCAATGAGCTTGCCCTACACTGCAGGGCTCAGCTCAGGAGTGCTAATGGAAGCTCTTAAATAGGAGTTGCACTGTTCTAAAACACTGACAAGTTACACTGGGAGGATGCCAGCACAGTACATGCACCAAAAGCACTAAAGCAGGCTATAATGAATATGGTTTATGAAGTGTTCCTTTAATAAACTATTCACTTTATATAAAATAAAAAATAAACAAAATAACAGAAAAAAAACCTCCTGGGTGCACACCCTTATGAAATTTGCTGCACACACCTATATTAAAAGATCAACTATTTATGTATCCTGAGTTTAAATATAATGTTGTGATTATCACCCATTAAATTTCCAAAATTTCCATTGCAGGCAGTTTCAGATAGATTAGACTTTTAACAATATTCCTCTGATGAATGGGGATGTTAGAGTGGCATCTAAGAATAGCACTCAAAAGATAACCAGACAGTCTAGTCTAGCAGAAGCCACAATTAAAGTTAAAGATGTCTAGTGATGAGGAAGCAGGGACTCCTTCCTGCTTCACCCTTGGAATGGTCACCAGGCATATAACTCCACACCCACTACCTATATACACTGCTCAAAAAAATAAAGGGAACACAAAAATAACACATCCTAGATCTGAATGAATTAAATATTCTTCTGAAATACTTTGTTCTTTACATAGTTGAATGTGCTGACAACAAAATCACACAAAACTTTAAAAATGGAAATCAAAATTTTCAACCCATTGAGGTCTGGATTTGGAGTCACACTCAAACTTTGATGTAATGTCCTTAAAACAAGTCAAAATGAGGCTCAGTAGTGTGTGTGGCCCCCACGTGCCTGTATGACCTCCCTACAACGCCTGTGCATGCTCCTGATGAGGTGGCGGATGGTCTCCTGAGGAATCTCCTCCCAGACCTGGACTAAAGCATCTGCCAACTCCTGGACAGTCTGTGGTGCAACGTGACATTGGTGGATGGAGCGAAACATGATGTCCCAGATGTGCTCAATTGGATTCAGGTCTGGGGAACGGGCGGGCCAGTCCATAGCATTAATGCCTTCGTCTTGTAGGAACTGCTGACACACTCCAGCCACATGAGGTCTAGCATTGTCTTGCATTAGGAGAAACCCAGGGCCCACCGCACCAGCATATGGTCTCACAAGGGGTCTGAGGATCTTATCTCGGTACCTAATGGCAGTCAGGCTACCTCTGGTGAACACATGGAGGGCTGTGCGGCCCCCCAAAGAAATGCCACCCCACACCATTACTGACCCACTGCTAAACCTATCATGCTGGAGGATGTTGCAGGCAGCAGAACGTTCTCCACGGCATCTCCAGACTCTGTCACGTCTGTCACATGTGCTCAGTGTGAACCTGCTTTCATCTGTGAAGAGCACAGGGCTTCAGTGGCAAATTTGCCAATCTTGATGTTCTCTGGCAAATGCCAAACGTCCTGCACGGTGTTGGGCTGTAAGCATATCA